TTATGCATGGATTGGTGGCCTCCATCTCTATTTGAGTTTGACACCTCTAGTCTAGTCTGTTGGTCTAGCTTTCATTAGGTTGTTGATGTATTTTTGATCCTGACTTTGTCATCTGAACTGTCTTCTTTCTTCTTTCTTGGATTTTGTAGTCCATCCCTAGGAATTTTTTCTTGAACTGGTATTAGTTGAGTATTCATTTTATTCAAAATTAATAACTATATCCAACAACTTGTCACAGTTCATTATATTTTTTTATAACCAAAACCAAACATATATGCCTTCAACCCTTGGAGGTATATCTCACCCTGGCACACTTTCTGCAGTACAACTGCTTCTCAGATTTTATTGTTCTACTTACTAACCATCTTTGTAGTTGATTTTTTATTTGAGTTATAAAATCAAAAGGTTTTCCTCTACTTGCTGAAGAGGATTAAGTGTAATTGGCATATGCTCAGGGGAGTGTCCTACCAAATATTAAATTGCCTTTCTAATCTCTGCATAAATTCACATTTCAAAGTTTGTAATCATTCCACAATTCTAAATGCTGTGCCTTTAAGACTTTCTAACAGTCTATGTCTTTTCTCCACTTCAGATATCTGCCATTATTGCAAGACTTCATCAGGTGTAGGCTATGGTACTTTATTAACCAAAATTTGTACACACAGTTGCGTTGCACTCTTCATGACCCTATTTTGGGTTTTTTGTGGCAAAGACACTGCAGCGGTTTGCCAATTCATTCTCCAGCTCATTTTGCAGATGAGGATCTGAGGCAAACAGGGTTAAGTAACTTGCCCAGGGTCATGCAGCTAGTAAGGGTCTGAGACTGGATTTGAACTCAGGAAGAGGAGTCTTCCTGACTCCAGGCTCAGCTCTCTATCCACTGCACCACCTAGCTGCCCTCAAATTTGTACAAGAGTTGAAGCTTAAATGCTATCAGAATGATGTAGAACCCCCCCCCAAAAAAAGTGAGACAGTGATGTGAGAGTAAGGGGGGACCAAGGGACATCTTTCATACTCTATTAGGGTCCACATAAGGTCAAGAGAACCAAAAGAAGATTCGTGCCCTCCAGGTGGATCCGCTGTGGAAGTTTTATGGGAGGACACAGACAAGAGTCTTACTAGATGATTATGCCTCTATCTCTTGAAATAGCTTGACTTTTCCAGGAGGCCTCGGACTCAAACAGAATGAAAGCAGTTTCATCCTGCAGTTTTTGTGCTGACACATGTAGGCAACTATCTGGGCATTTGTGAAATGCAGAGTGCACCTTTTGAAGTCCTGCAAGGCACCAATAGTCACCGAAACCCGCCTTTGCACCACCAGGATGTGCAAATCAGTTGCTTTGCAAAATATGGTTTCTGTTAAGGGTTCCAGCCCCACAGTCTGCTTACCCTCATAGTCTATGAGCTGCTGTAATCCATTCACTTGCACCAACCAGACTGTCAGAATTCCACAAATTGGGGTGCTCAGAGATAGGCATATACTCCGAATGGCCTGGCGCCCAGACCGAGGCCGGTCTGATTCCTCTGCTTTCAGCATGGGCACATCCATCCAGGGCCGCCCATCTGACAATGTGTCTGAGGCTCCCTGTAGGGCCTTCAGCTGATCCACTGTCTCTCGAAGGAGGAATCACATTGCAAATTGGTCCACTTTGGATATATGGTCATACACCAGCTCGGCCGTGTCCACTGCAGTGAGCACGGTGCTGTTCAGGGTCCTGGAATAGTCCTAGGCCAGCGAAGGCCAAAGAAGGCAATGTGGAAGGGGCTGCAGGGGCCTCACCGGCAGCAGCCTTGGGCCGGAGCAGGCAGTGGGTCAGCAGCTCATGACATACTTAGAGATCCCCGAAAAGGGGCGTGAGTGTGCTTGGACCTGTCTGACCCAGCCAGCCTCATCCTCTCTTCCTGACTGAGATCTTGGGGACAAGTTGGATTCTTACCTCTGCTTCTGATGGGGGTAGGGAGTAGAGGGAGAGTTCTTATATCTTTTTTTTTTTAAATAAATCATTTCTTTCTTCTTTTATAATTTTTTAAGTATTATGAACTTGACAAACATAATTAACCATGAACATTTCTTTACACCAAGAAAAAAAAAGATCTGTACATTTACTTGATTCCCATTACATATAAATAATGTACAAAGAGATATGTTCCATAACAGAGGTTTAAACAAAGTCCTATGTCTGAACATACATAAAGGAAAGCCATTTTTTGCTGGAGGATTCATGGGGAAAAGTGGTGTTTGAGCTGGGCCTTGAAGAATGGGTGGGAATTAAACAGGCAGAGTGGAAGGAAAGGGCAGCTAGGGGAAGGGCAGCTAGGTGGTGCTAGGGATAGAGCTCCAGGCCTGGTGTCAGGAAAATTCTTCCCGAGTTCAAATCTGACCTCAGCCACTTACTAGCTGGGTGACCCTGGGTAAGTCACTTTACCCCTTTTGCTTCAGTTTCCTCATCTGTAAAATGAGCTGGAGAAGGAAATGGCAAACCACTCCAGTATTTTTGCCAAGAAAACCCCAAATGGGGTCACAGAGAGTTGGACATGATTGTGGAGAGGAAGCTATTCCAGGCAGAGGGAATTTGACTTAGACATACATAGTTCATAGGCAGGAAAGTTCTGGGCAGATTTAGGGAATGATGAATAGTCCAGTTTGATTGCAGTGGATTTTGAATGCCAGGCTAAAAATTTGGGGTTTTACTCTATAGGTAATGGGGGTGGGGCCTGTTTAAAGGTTAACAGGATGTGTAGGATGAACTGGAGGGGAGAAAGGACTGAATGTGAGGTGAGCAGCTAGGCAGCTATTGCAAGAATCCTGGTGAGAAGTAATTAGGGTGCCTACTATGCACTAGGCACTGTGCTATGAGTTGAAGATCCAAAGAAAGGGAAAAGACAACTGTTGATCTCAAGGACCTCACTTGAATGGGGGAGACAATATGAAAACAACTATGTACAAACAAGGTTTATACAAGATGAAGCGGAGATAATATGAGAGGGCAGGCACTAAGAATAAGAAGAACTAGGAAAGTCTTCTTGCAGAATGTGGGACTTCAGCTGAGACCGGTCTCGACTTCTCAGATTTCTTCCAGCTCTGGGTCTATTTTATGAGCATAAATGTGATGTCAGAAGAAAAGTGCTGTCTGGGAAAAGACACAGGTTTGACTCATAGACATAGAGCTGGAAAGGACTTCAGATGCCATCTAGTCCAATTCTTTTGTTTTATAGAAGAGGAGACTGAGGCTCAGGGAGGTTGAATAAGCATGAGAGAGAAACATCATCAAAGTTCTTTGATTCCAAAAAGTCCCTAGTCTTTCTACTGTACCACATTGCCTCCACCTCTTACTAGTTACATAAGTATGGATAAATCACATTTCAACTCATTTTCGTTATCTCTAAAAATGAGTATGGAAATTTTTAACGTCCTTACCTTACAGGGTTGATGTGAATATCAAATGAGACAAGGTATGTAAATCGTTTTTGCAAACCTTAAAGGCTGTGATCAGTGGTGACAAAGACGTACAAACCACTAATTTAATTTGTGAGGGGAGTATCCAACGAGGAACTTTCTCTACCAAAACAGAACAGATCCCTGCAATTCAATAGACCTAGAGAGTTGGCCAGGCACTAAGAGGTTGAGTCCTTTGGTCAGGAGGGTATTATTATTATTATTCTCTACTTTAATAATAGAGAATAAAGTAGGAATATAAAGGACTATATAGTTAATTGAGGAATAAATATTTTCTATCTGGAGAAATTAACGAAAGTTTTGAAATTGGGTGGGAGAAGGAAGGCACCATTAACAAAAATATTACACACATCACATGTAATTACACATTATATATTACATATATGTGTGACATAGTGCATGTAACAGAATTACGTATTACTTCCAATGTTGCATATATTACATATAATAAATAGTACTGTATGTAATACTTCCGTGGGCGAAAATAGAGTGACAGAGGGTTCTACGTATGCAAATAAATTCGCTACAAATTAATAAATGCTATAGTGACGCTAGTCCTGCGCTTCCCCAAGGCGTGAACCCAGACAAAGTCGTTCCTACCCAGAGCCCGCAGCCGGGGCTGTGATTTGCATTTGCGAAAGATGGAAAAAGGGGAACCACAGTTTGAAAACTCCGGGCTTCTACATCATCCAGGAGGGCGGGCCAGAGTCTCATCAGAAACCCAAAGGGGCTTCGCTAAGCGATTCTCACCGCCGCTCCCACAGAGCTAAGACACCCCCCCAACTCCGACCCCGCCGCCGGGAGCACAGCGGGGGACGTGCGGGTCTGGGGACAGGGTGAGGGACGAGGCGTGGGGGCAGGACCTCCAGCTCAGGCGTGTATATTGTAGCGCGTGCGTGTGCGTCTCCCCCTTGTTGCGCATCTCACCCTCCCGCCCCCTCCTGTTCTTAAAAAAAAAAAAAAAACTCGTGGAAGAAACTGGAGGAGGGGGATTTCTTCAGGAGCCGCGGGGTTTAAACAAGCTCAGTATGGTTTTCTCTCCTCCTTCTCTTCTCCCCCAGCTCCACCCCTTCACCGCCTTCACCGCCAGACCACGCCCCCTGTCTCCAAGGGTACCCAATCACAGGCGGCGAGGGCGGTGGAAGGCGGGGCGCCGGGACTCGGGGGAGAGGGACTGAGCGCGCGCTGCACGCCCCCACCCGCCACCTCGGAGGGGCTGGCGTGGGGAGAGCGCCTTGCGTCATATTCCGGGAAATCCCCCTCCCTTCCAGCGGCAACCCGGCCCTTCCCTACGCTCGGTCCCGCCCTCTTCCCCCCTCAACCCGCTGGGCCGGGGGAGGGTACCCGCCTCAGACTCGGACGTCGGCGCGGGCGGGGAGGGGGTGGGGCCGAGGGGCGGAGCCCCGGAGGAAGGGGGTCCGCGCGGTGAGAGACCCGACTGACTAGGCTGGCTGGCGGCGAGTGCTGACGGAGGAGACGCGCTACCCGGCCAGTCCCTGCCCTGCCCTGCCTGACCGTGCCCTGTCCTGCCCTGCCCGGCGAGCGCTGCGAGGGAGCCCGGCTCGCGGAGCGGAGCCATGGCGGCCGGTGAGTGTCCCCAGGGCCGGCCCTGGAGAGGTCCGGACTCCCGAGGACGGTGAGGGGATCGGGCGCAAAAGTTTGGGGGAGTTACCCGGGATTCCCCCTTATCCTCCGGGGAGCGACTCCCGGAACCCGGGGAGGAGGAGGGGACCTTGGGGGAAACGGCGAAGCGAAGGTGATTTGGCAGTCAGTCAGTTAAGCATTTATTAAGCGCCCACTTTGTGCCAAGCGCTGCTCCAGGTTGTGCGGGTGCAAAGGTAAAAGACAGTCCTGCATTTATTAAGCGCCTGCTATATGCCAGGCGCTGGGGATGCGAAGAACGGTAAAAGACAGCCTGGGCTCTCCAGGAGCTCACGGTCTAAGAGGGGAGACGGCATGCAGACGACTATGTGCGGAGGAGCTGTAGGCAGGGTAAATTGGGGACAGTCTCATAGGATCGTGAACTTACCTTTCCAGCCTTGTCTTACCTTGAAGCGCTCCGAAAATATAAAGTGGCCTTACTACTTTTGGTAGTATCTGCTGTGCTAGTAATAATAATCCTTGGATCCTTTCGTGGGTTTGAGAGATCTCAGCCGGGTACTTCCTCGGCTGGTGCAGACCTCGGCTCATTCATACTTTCTCATCCTATATGACATCCTATATTAACCCATGGTCTGTCCCAAATCCTCCCCGGGGGTCCATCCTATGGTCTGGCAATTTCCTCCAGATTCTTTGCCATTGCGTGGTTGCGGTGAAGCTGGCATCAGAGCTTTCATAGTTCAAGATTCTTTTTTTTTTTTCCCATTGGAATGATGGTATTATGTTTTAAAAGTGGAGTTGAAAATCTCCAGGCCCTGGGGCACTCTTCTTTGGTCTGTATTCACCATGTATGAAGAAAAAGGATAGAGGATGATCCCATTTATGCCAGTAATTGCGAAGACTAACATGATGGCTCTAAAAGCCTTTGTTAGTAATAATGGTAATATTAAAAAAACATCATTTTTCAATGTGTGAAATTAAATAGTTATATCCTACTTTCCCCCCAATTAAGCTAAGGTTTTCCTATTAAAAAAATAAGGAGAAAAATGAACATCTAAAGCATGCTTAGAAATACATATATTTTAAAAATAGCCGCTTCTGAGGGGCTGTTAGGTGGCCCAGTGGATAGAGCACCGGCCCTGAAGTCAGGAGGACCTGAGTTCATATCCGGCCTCAGACCAAACACTTGACACATACTAGCTGTGTGATTTTGGACAAGTCACTTTACCCCAATTGCCTAAAAAAAAAAAATAACCACTTCTAGCAGTATTCACTTTTTTCCCCCCCCAGTCTAGAAAGTTGTCTTTTTTAAGGGTCAGGAGAAAGGGAAGAAGCCTTCATCTCCCTTCCTCCCATGGGTGGGACCCTCCTGATGAAGTTTTGAGAGGATATTGAAGAGTTATTACAGGATGGTCAGGATTAGATGGATTTCAGTCTGCATCACTGGAGGGAACTCCCTCATCTGTGAGCTCCATTTGATTGCTTTGAGATTAGTAAATGAGTCAGAATTTTACGTCTCATGGCTTTGGCAAACATTGAACTTTCTTGTGTCTGTCTCTCTCCTGTGTTCTTTTCCTTTAATTTTCTCTCCATTCCCCTTGCTCTCCTAGCTGGGCATTAAAGCTGAAGTATTGAACAATTATTTGTTACTTTTTTAAAAGTAGTTTTTATAGTCCTTGATTTTAATTTTAAAAGTACTTGAGAGGAACATTTTATATTTCATCTCCTCTGTACCTTCTCTTAAAACAAACAGAAAACAGTCCATCAAGCACTTAAACTCCACTAAAATATAGGATTTTTTTTTTACACTTATATGGTCTGTGACCCTCAACAGAAAAAGGTCTCCCGCCCCTGTTTTAGAGTGTAGAAGAGGAAGTAAAAAACAGAAAGGATTTTTTTTTCTTTTTAAACAGAACAATGTCACTGCAACTATTGTAAGTTGAAAAGGAAGTAAGTAAGGTTGTTTCAGATGATAGGCTTTTGGCTGTGTTTGCGGTTTTAGTGTGAGAATATGTGTATAGTTTAAAATATTAAAACTTTCCCTTTACCCACATCATTGACCCTAAAATGCCATATAATTGGGTTAATAATATTAAAACGAATTGGGATGACTAGCGTTAAAAAACTTTTAGTTGTCAAATTTTTGATTTGCTAAAAAAAAAAATCTGTGAGAATATCAGAGATATATTTCACAAATAAAATAGGCAGTATGCTGGAAATTTAACCAACCTTTTCAGGAAGTGTGAATTTGTCAACCATGTGATACTTTTTAAATGGGCAACACAAAATTAACCACATTTGTATGCAATCTATTTAACATCCCACATTTTTATGAAAATGATGGTAAAGTAGTTCCCTTAGTGAATCTGTAACCTCTGTTGACTGATATGAGAGTTCCTTACTGTAAAAAAAAGTTACTATAGCAATATACTGATTATGATAGGATGATTTAAAGGAATTCAAAACTAAGAGTAGTTTTCTTTCTTTCACTTAAATGCTAAAATTGTAAATAACTAGAAAAGGATTTCCATAGAAGTATTTTAAAAATTAAATGTTATCTAATATTTTAAAAATGAATGAACAAAGAAAATATGTTTTTGAGTGTATTATGATTTGATTCCTATTGATGAAGTTTGAAACTAATTTAAAAGGAAAAATCTACTGTCTTGTTCTGGCCTTTATAATGATAATAATTGTTGTTCAGTTGTGTTGGACTCTTCATGACCTCATTTTGGGGTTTTCTTGGAAGTGATACTAGAGTTGTTTGCTATTTTCTTCTCCAACCCATTTTACAGATGAGGAAACTGAGGCAAACAAGGTTAAGTGATTTGCTAGTAAGTGACACAACTATTAAGTGTGTGAGGCCAGATTTGAACTTAGGATGATGAGTCTTTCTGACTCCAGGCCCAGCACTCTATCCACTGTGCCACCTAGCTGCCCTAAGTGATAATAATAGCTAACATTTTATATAGCACTCCTCAATCTTCTTTCCTCCAGAATTAATAGTACAGTAATTAGAGATTTCATTAGAGTGATTCTAACAGGTACCAGAGAAAACATTTGTTGTACAGATTTGATCACTGTACAGAATAAAGTAAAGGCAGTTATGTGGTGCTATAGTGCACAGAGTGCTGGACCTGAAGTCAGAAAGACTCATCTTCCTGAGTTCATATCTAGCCTCAAACACTTACTAGTCGTCTCTGACCTTGGGCAAGTCATTTAACCCTGTGTGCATCAGTTTCCTAATCTGTAAAATGAGCTGGTGAAGGAAATGGCACACCACTCCATTATCTTTGTCAAGAAAACCCCAAATGGGGTCATGAAAAGTCAGGCACAACTGAAACAACAGAGCAATAAATGTGACAGGCATTGTGCTAAGAGTTTTACAATTATTATCTTATTTGATCCTCATAACAACCTTGGGAGGTGGGTGCTGTTATCATTGGTGAAAGCTTTTATACCTTTATTTGAACATTTGATTATCTGTATATCTTTGGTAAATCATAAGTTTGTTGACAGAAAGCTTTGCTTAATTGATTAGAGTTAATTATCATCTGTGGTTAGAATCTATTAATGTTGACATAACAGAAAACCTCACAAAGTATTTTAATAGAGTAACAGAGTAGTTAATACTGCCTTCTCAGATTTTAATACTTCATCTCTTACTAACTTTGACATGGAAGCAAGCCTTTGTAGTTGAATACATATGGTTCAGATACCATGAAAGTACCATAAACTATAATTTATAAGAATAAAAAGATTTCTGGGAGAAGTAGAAAAATTGATTATTTTTGCAAATTACTTTGAAGTTCAGGGTTTTCTAAATGGTCAAAACAAATGGTTAGGATTTTGCAGCCCTTAGATTCCATTAGACTAGCTTAAATAAGGATTTTAAATCTTCCTTTCAAATCTGTTGACATCACGGTTAATTAGAGTAGGAAGTATGAAGAAAAATGTTCCCAAACCTGTCTAAGGTATGTGTGGCTGGGCAGTCAGTGTTCCTGTTTATTTATGAACTTCAGTGAATTTCTCTGACTCCATGTATTTGCTTGTATTGTTCTCTGGGCTTGAAATGCCCTCCTCTGTTCAATTCTATCTGTTTAAATCCTAACAGGTCCAGTTTAAAAGTCATCTTTTTCATAAAGTCTTCTCTGATCTTTTTTCCTCCTCCCTAATAAGATCTTCCCCTCTCCTTCATTTGATCTCTTTAGCACTTTGTAGTCCTTTATTGTATTCTAATTTGTCTACTTATCATAATCTAATTTGTTTTATTTTTATCATCCCACTCTGACTGTGGGAACCTTTAAGGTTCTTAAGGAGTTATTTGTATTTTTGTATTCTTCTATAGTTAACGTAATACTGTGGTAGATGCTTCATATTTATAGAAGGAACTGAGAGAGGAAGGTAGTTTTTATGTCCAGAAGAGGCAAAAGTAACAGAAAACTGGTCTTTATGAAGTAAACTGGTTCCCAGGTCATAGGGGACACAACTGCCTTTTCCCCTTTCTTTAAATTTCATGTGTAGGCTAATTGGGAAAGCAGATGATGTCAGCTCCGTTTGTACGCTTGAGTCATGAGTATTTTCTTCTGCCCCCTCTCAGTCAGGTGTACTAAGTCCTCTAGATTTCTGCTTTGCTGCTTCCTCTCCTGTATGTTCCAAGGTCTGTACAGGAACTAAATTGAGTCTTACCTCTACCAAGATGCTTTATCTTCTGAAGTTTTTAACATTTGTTACACTTGGATTAGATTCCATTTTACTTAGCCTATCAGTAAGTATTGTTCCTGAAACAATTTTTATTCTAGCCTTTAAAAAAATTTAATGATTCTAGAACACCAATTCTCCATTATTCCAGTTATAATTTATATTTTATGTATAAAAGAAAATCATTTTTTTTTGTGATAGAAAGTCCTCTCCTAAGCCCTACTATAATGCTTCGTTGGAGCATGGAGATGACCTTGAGTTCTTTTAGGCTGCCATACCAGCAGAGT